ACAAGAGAAAACTTCGCCTCAAAAAAAAAAAAAAAAAAAAAAAAAAAGAAAGGCTAGGCGTGATGGCTCATGCCTGTAATCCCAGCACTTTGGGAGGCTGAGGCGGGCGGATCACCTGAGGTTATGAGTTTGAGACCAGCCTGGCCAACATGGTGAAACCCCTTCTCTACTAAAAATATGAAAATTGGCTGGGTGTGGTGGGCACATGCCTGTAATCCCAGCTACTTTGGAGGCTGGGGTTTCACCGTGTTGGCCAGACTGGTCTCAACTCCTGACCTCAAATGATCCACCTGCCTCTGCCTCCCAATTACTTACCAAATCCCATCAGGTCCACCTTATCTTCCTAATCCATTCATATCTGTCTGTTCCACCACCACTACTTTAATTCAAGGTCCTATTATTTTGGGCCTTATGCTGCTGAAACAGTCTCCTGCCTCCTTTTGCTCATTAAACCCATGTTTACCGACTGCTGATTCCGTACCAGGTGTTGGGGAAGCAGTGGTGAGAGCAAGGCAGATGAGATTCCTTCCTTCTCCCATAGGTATGATGGAAGCAGGGTGAGGAGCACCGAGGTGGAGCAGGGGTGCCTTGTTCAGCTGGAGGGGTTAGGGAAGCATTCTCAGAGGAAGAAGCATCAAAGAGACCTGAAGGATGATTAGGATTCAGCCAGGAGGAGTCGTTAAGGGAGATAAAGGAAGAATATTCCAGACTTGGAGCCTAGGACATGTGAAAGCCAGTAGGTTGAAAGTGTGGCGAGTTGGCACCTTATGGGACCTGAGAGTCAAAATGGCGGGACTCAGAGATTTTAAGGGAATGAGCAGATAGAGATGAACTTTGAGAGGTGGGTTGGGGGAAGCAGCATGGTAATGGAAGGCTAGGAGGAGGAACTGGCAAGATTTGGTACTGGGTTGGACCAGGCGTGGAAAGAAAGTGAAGATGGTAGCAGTCAAGGCTGGTACTCGGATTTCAGGATTGAGCACTGGATGTGGAGTCCAGGAGGAACAGCAGGTTTGATGGTGGCAGATGCTGGGCCCATTATGGACAAATTGAGTTTGAGGATCCTGTGGGATGGTCAAGTGGCACCGTCCACCAGGCAGTTGGATATATGGGTTCAGAGTAGAGAGGGGACACTGAAGTCATGGCTGGTTGACATCAGCCTGAGGGCCAGCAGATAACTGATGAAGGATGGATGTCCAGACTAGTTTAAATATCTCTCACAAATCAGTAAGAAAAAGGCAACGACTGGCCAGGTGTGGTGGCTCATGACTGTAATTCCCACTTTGGGAGGTGGAGGTGGGCAATCACTTGAGGCCAGGAGTTCGAGACCAGCCTGGCCAACATAGTGAAACCCTGTCTCTACTAAAAAATATAAAGATTAGTCGGGCTTGGTGACAACTACCTGTAGTCCCAGCTACTTGGGAGGCTGAGGCATGAGAATTGCTTGAACCCAGGAGGCAGAGGTTGCAGTGAGCCGAGATCGTGCCACTACATTCCAGCTTGGGGAACAGAGAAAAACATTGTCTCAAAAAAACAAAACAAAACAACAAAAACCCCCAAAACCAAAACAAAACAGCCTAGTAGAAAAATGGGCAAAATTTGGCCTGGTGTGGTGGCTCATTCCTGTAATCTCAGCACTTTGGGAAGCCGAGGCAGGCAGATCACTTGAGGCCAGGAGTTCGAGACCAGCTTGGCCAACATGGCAAAAACCCATCTCTACAAAAATCCAAAAATTAGCCAGGCATGGTGGTGGGTGCCTGTAATCCCAGCTACTTGGGGGAGGCTGAGGCACAAGAATTGCTTGAGCCTGGGAGGCGGAGGTTGCAGTGAGCTGAGATTGCATCATTGCACACTTCAGCCTGGGGGATAGAGCAAGACTCCATCTCAAAAAAAAGAAAATGAGCAAAATTTATGAAAAGGTATACCTAAATGGCTAGTAAGCATAGAGGAAATATCTAAACTCTCTTATAGTAATGAAGGAAATAGAAATTTATGCTGTAACGAAACGCCATTTCACCGCCTTCAAATTAAGAAATATGTAAAAGTCTGGCAATACCAAGAGGAAAAAGAACAGTCCTTTTTTTTTTTTTTTTTTTTTTGGAGATAGGATCTTGCTCTGTTGCCCAGCCTGGAGTGCAGTGGTGTGAACATGGTACACTGCAGCCTCAACCTCCTGGGGTCAAGCAATCCTGCTGCCTCAGCCTCTGAACAGCTGGGACTAAAAGCATGCCACCATGCCTAATTTTTTAATTTTTTGTAAAATTGAGGTCTTGCTATATTGCCCAGGCTAGAATAGAGATTCTTTTTTTTTTTTTTCTTAAAGATGGGGTTTCACCGTCATGGCCAGGCTGGTCTTGAACTCCTGACCTCAGGTGATCCACCCACCTCGGCCTCCCAAAGTGCTAGGATTACAGGCATGAGCCACCGCGCCCAGCCTAGAATAGAGATTCTTACATGCTGCTAGTGGGAGAGGACATTGGGATGAGTGCTTTGGGAAAGAAATGGACATTATAGTATCTTACAAAGTTGGCAAAGTGCGTAGCATAGGGACCAGTAATTTCACTCATCAGCAGAAACTGTAGAGAAACCCTTCTACATGTGTACAGAATGTTAAAGCACACTAGCCAAAAAATAGAATGACATCAGTGACTCAACAGAAACAGGGTAAATCAGTTTGAATGTATTCATGAGTGGAGTACTATACAGCAGTGAAAATGTATGAATTACAGCAAAATCTGTTACCATGGTTAAAGCTCACTGTCACAGAAGGATGCATATGATATTGTGTCATTACTATTAGGTATAGGCTGGGCATGGTGACTCATGCTTGTAATCCCAGTGCTTTGAAAGGCTGAGGTGGGTGGATTGCTTGAGGCCAGGAGTTTTAGACCAGCCTGAGCAACACAGACCCCTGTCTCTACAAAAAAATAATTTTAAAAATTAGCCAGGCATGGTGGCATGTGTCCATCTTCCTAGTTTAGTTACTAGGGAGGCTGAGGCTGAGGGATTGCTAGAGCCCAGGAGTTTGAGGTCACAGTGAGATGATTGCGCCATTGCACTCTAGCTTGGGCAACAGAGCAAGACCCCGTCTCTAACAAAAGAAAAAACTAAGTATAAAGACCTGCCATAGAATGTTAGTTACTGTTTTTTTCACATATTTCCCAAGTGAATATATTCTTAGGCCGGGTGCAGTGGCTCACACCTGTAATCCCAGCACTTTGAGAGGCTGTTACAGGTGGATCACTTGAGGCCAGGAGTTCGAGACCAGCCTGGCTAACATGGCAAAACCATGTCTCTACTAAAAATACAAAAAATTAGTTGGTGATAGGGGGATGGAGGCAGCAAACCACCTTGCCATGTGTGTACCTATGCAACAATGCCGCATAATCTGCACATGTACCCCAGAACCTAAAATAAAATATGAAAAAGAAAAAAAAATATTAGTCAGGTGTGGTGGTGAACTCCGGTAATTCCAGCTACTCAAGAGGCTGAGGTGCAAGAATCACTTAAACCCAGGAGGCGAAGGTGGTGCCACTGCACTCCAGCCTGGGTGACAGTGAGATTCTGCCTTAAAAATAAATAAAATACAATATAGTCCTAAAGAAATATATGACAATGATAAATTCAGCATAATGTTTACCTCTGAAGGAGAGTTTCTGTTAGGAAAAGGGTTTAAACATAGTTTTTTCTTCAGCTGGATAGAGGGATACAGGGTTTTTTAAATAGGATACTTTTCATGTTTGAACCGCTTACTTTTTTTTCTTTATTTTTGTAGGGAGGTTACTTTTTTTGTTTTCATTTTTGTATTTTTGAGACAGCTTCTCACTCTGTCACCCAGGCTGGAGTGCAGTGGCACCATCTCGGCTCACTGCAGTCTCTGCCTCCAGGGTTTAAGCGATTCTCATGCCTCAACCTCCCTGGCAGCTGGGACTACAGGCATGTGCCACCATGCCTAGGTAATTTTTTTTTTCTCATGGAGACAGGGTTTCACTATATTACCCAGGCTGGTCTTGAACTCCAGGGCTCCAGTGATCTGCCTGCCTCAGCCTCCCAAAGTACTGGGATTACAGGTGTGAGCCACCGTGCCCCGCCAATGATTTTTTTTTTTTTTTTAAGACAGCGTCTCTCTGTTGCCCTGGCTGGAGTGCAGTGGTGCAATCTCAGCTCACTGCATCCTTCACCTCCTGGGTTCAAGGGATTCTCCTGCCTCAGCCTCCCGGGTATCTGGGATTACAGGGGCCTGCCATCATGCCTGGCTAATTTTTGTACTAATATTTTTTTAGAGGATCAAATGGCACCTAACATGTACTCAGTAAATATTTGAATTACTGGTTAGTTCTTTGTGTCTGGGTTGGGGTATTATTATTCGTTTCTTCCTCTCTAAGTGTTTAAAAAGAAAGAGGCTAGGCATGGTGGCTCACACCTGTAATCCCAGCACTTTTGGAGGCTCAGGTGGGTAGATCACCTGAGGTCAGAAGTTCAAGACCAGCCTGACCAACATGGAGAAACCTTGTCTGTACTAAAAATACAAAATTAGCCTGGTGTGGTTGCACATACCTATAATCTAAGCTACTTGGGAGGCTGAGGCAGGAGAATCTATTGGAACTGGGAGGCAGAGGTTGCTGTGAGCCGAGATCACGCCATTGCACTCTAGCCTGGGCAACAGGAATGAAACTCCGTCTCAAAAACTTTTTAAAAGAAAGTAAAAAGTATGAATCTATATGACTTTTGGTGGCTAAATCTGACATTAAAGTCTGAGCTCGCCCTTGAACATTGAGACAGTCTCTGCTCCGTATATACACCCCATCTCACAACACTGCTAGAGGCACCGTTTCCCTCCGAGTGACTCAGGCATTTGCACGTCTCTGTCTAGGTCCCTGTCCTTCGAATGGTGGAAGGTGACACCATCTATGATTACTGCTGGTATTCTCTGATGTCCTCAGCCCAGCCAGACACCTCCTAGTAAGTAATGTCCTTTGCCTCCCCGTTCGCCACCCCACCACCCAGTTTCAAGCGGGTCCCCTTGGGAGAGTCAATGGCTGCCAGGCGTCTTCAGAAGAGGAAAGCTTGTCATGCTCATCAGAGGGGCTGGTCAGTTGGCTTCCTCCCCTTTTTTCTTTTTTGAGATTGAGTCTCACTCTGTCACCCAGGCTGGAGTGCAGTGGCACAATCCATGCCCAGCTAAGTTTGTTTGTTTGTTTTTGAAATGGAGTCTTGCTCTGTCATCCAGGCTAGAGTGCAGTGGCATGATCTCTACTTACTGCAACTTCTGCCTCCCGAGTTCAAGCAATTCTTCTGCCTCAGCCTCCTGAGTAGCTGGGATTACAGGTGCCTACCACTTTGCCTGGCTAATTTTTATATTTTTAGTAGAGACGGGTTTCACCATGTTGGCCAGGCAGGTCTCGAACTGACCTCAGGTGACCCACCTGCCTCGGCCTTCCAAAGTGCTGGGATTACAGGCATCAGCCACCGCGCCCGGCCATTCCTCCCCTTCCTTTGACAGCACCGGGGTTTCAGTGTCCATGTCTCTCTCAGCGTGGCCAGCAGCAGCCGGGAGAACCCTATTCATATCTGGGACGCATTCACTGGAGAGCTCCGGGCTTCCTTTCGTGCCTACAACCACCTGGTAGGGACCTTCACACTCAGCCCTAGTACTTCTGTTGGCCCAGCTCTCCTTCCTTTAGGGCAGCTGAGGCTTTGCAAGACCTGCTTTCAGCCCTTTCCTTTACCCAGGATGAGCTGACGGCAGCCCATTCGCTCTGCTTCTCCCCGGATGGCTCCCAGCTCTTCTGTGGGTTCAACCGGACTGTGCGTGTTTTTTCCACGGCCCGGCCCGGCCGAGACTGTGAGGTCCGAGCCACATTTGGTAAGCATCTGTGCCTCCACAGGAGGAGGAGAGGGAAGGGTGCTGCCACCTGCATAGGGCCTTGTGTGAGCCAGGGGCCACCTGTGGGGTTTCACGCCGTCGTGTGTACAGCCCTGGGAGGCAGCTGCAGCCCAGTTGGCAGAGGAGAAAGCAGACTCAGAGCACATAGGAACCTCCCCAAGGTCAACCAGCCGGTCAAAGGACAGCTTAATTCCTGAACCCATGCCCTTCAGCTGTGGAGCTTTTGGTCTCTGAAATCTTTCTAGAAAATTTTTCATGAAGCTGATTCTGTTTTCCTGTAGGGCTTCAACTTGCATCTCTCCAAGGAAAACCTGGAATTTGAGAGGGATGAAGTGGGGCGTGGGGCTTGGTGTTTAGGTCATTTGGGAGGACAAATATGGGGAGCATCAGAGGTCTTTATCCTGCTCATGACAAACAGCATGGGGGAGATGCTGAGTGCAAGCATGCTGGTGCTGGGATGGGAGACAGAGCTCTGCTTCGCCTGGTTGGGGCCAGGAGCCATTGCCCCCTTCCCCACTTTGTTCCTTCCATCTCTAGCAAAAAAGCAGGGCCAGAGCGGCATCATCTCCTGCATAGCCTTCAGCCCAGCCCAGCCCCTCTATGCCTGTGGCTCCTACGGCCGCTCCCTGGGTCTGTATGCCTGGGATGATGGCTCCCCTCTTGCCTTGCTGGGAGGGCACCAAGGGGGCATCACTCACCTCTGCTTTCACCCTGATGGCAACCGCTTCTTCTCAGGAGCCCGCAAGGTAGGGGTCATACTGTGAGAGCTCAAAGCAGCTGGGCAGCGGGGCAGGAGTGGGGATGTAGTCTGCAGTGTAGGCGGAGGGGGATGGGGATGGGGAAGAAATCCCAAGCTGAAGGAGTGCCTGGAGACCCTGAGGGAGGCAGGGACATCTAGGGCTTGGGGGGCCACTCCAGGTCCTGTTCTGTGTCTCTAGGATGCTGAGCTCCTGTGTTGGGATCTCCGGCAGCCTGGTTACCCACTGTGGTCCCTGAGTCGAGAGGTGACCACCAATCAGCGCATCTACTTCGATGTGGACCCGTGAGTGGCCGTGGCTCCTTCCCACACAGGGCCCTGATAAGCCTAGGAATGTCAGGGCCCAGCTGTGGGGTCCCAGCCCTGGGTGTCGGGGGTTCCTGCCCCGGGGGCGATGCCTCTGCCAGCAAATCTCTCCTCTCTCTCCCAGGACTGGGCAGTTCCTAGTGAGTGGCAGCACGAGCGGGGCCGTCCAGGTGTGGGACACGGGCAAGCCTGGCAGTGATGGGAAGCCGGAGCCTGTATTGAGTTTTCTGCCTCAAAAGGACTGCACCAATGGCGTGAGGTCCTCACTTCAATTCCAGAGATGTTGGGGATTGGGTTGGGGAGGGAGGTGAATCCCAGAGGGAGCAAGTGTCCTTACTGAAGGTGCTGACAGACCCTCTCATCTCTCCCTCAGCCTGCACCCTAGCCTGCCTCTCCTGGCTACTGCCTCCGGTCAGCGTGTGTTTCCAGAGCCCACAGAGAGTGGGGACGAAGGGGAGCCAGAGCTGGGCCTTCCCCTGCTCTCCATGCGCCATGTCCACCTTGAATGTCGGCTTCAGCTCTGGTGGTGTGGGGGGGGGCCCAGACCCCAGCATCCCTGATGACCACCATGGCGAGAAAGGGCAGGGAGGGATGGAGGGAGGTGACAGTGAGCTTATATAAAAAGGTTTTTTATGATACTAGAGTCTTTGTGTCTGTTTGGGGAGGCACGTGAGTGAGGTGGGAGTGGGCAGGGGGACTGGTGGGCTCCCGTGTCCAGCAGCAGTGGGTATGGCATATTGTTCCTGAAACCAGGGGTTGAGAGGTGGGACTAGGCGGGAGCCAATGGGGTGGCTGAGCTTGGTGTGAAGTCAAGTGGGTGGGGGTGGGGCTTCATGCCATTGACTGGTTGGTTGCTAGGCAACTTGGTAAACTGAAGGGGGAAACCTGTTTGAAATCTCACTCCCAAGGTGGGGGCAGCAGGGGTCAGGGTGAGCCAGGCTGAGCAGGAGCTGGGTCAGACTGTTGGGTGTGACCGTGTGAGACTGTGCAGACAGTGACAGACAGGGCGACCGTCACCTAGACTCCACACTGTTTGCCGTGTTCCAGCAGCACGGGGACCATTACTCAGCTCTGAGGGGAGCAGGAACCTGCCCCTCCCCTCCCCAGGGCTCCCCAGGAGGCAGACAACCCAGTTGCCAGAGTCAAGGACACACACGAAAGAGTAAAGGTGTCAAAAAATATACAGTCGTCACCTTTGGTATTGCCGTTAGATGCAGGGCACGGCAAGGGTCTTATTCATTCAGCAGCTGTCGCTGGGCTTGTTTCTCCATTTGTCTGCTCTGTCTTTGGGGGTGGGGGACGAGTGTGTCATTTGAAGCAGTGACTCCTCCCTCCTCCACCTAACACCTTCCCAAACACTGAGAATGGGGGGTCTTTGAAGAGATACTGCCAGCAGGGGATGTGATTTTGGACCTCACAAAGGGAAGGGACGAAAGGCCTGTGGAGGCTTGAGAGAGGAGAGGAATGTCACCCCTGCCCAGAGGTGCTGAAAGCCAGGGCTCTTACCCCCGAAAAGGCAACTCCTCCCTTCCCCCAGGATAATTGGAAACAGCCCTTCCTGCAGCAGTGCCGGTTTGGGGTTGTAGGTATGCCCCTGCCTCTCCCAGCCCGGCTTCTCCGCCCCGCCCCCTCTTAGGAAAGGCCCAAGTGTATCCCCTAAACTCCTGTCTTCCACTAACCCCCAGGTTACCAGCACATGGTCCATGGAGTGGTGACAAAAGAGACCCCAGGAGTGGTAGTTGAGCAGCCTGGGTTTGGTCTCTAGCTTTATCCTAGACTTCCTGTGTGACCTTGGGCAAGTCATGGGGGTCTCCCTGAGCCTCAGTTTCCTCATCACTGCAATGGGATCGTTAGCTCTGCCCCTCCCACTTCACACAGGTAGTCGTGACAATCAGCTCCGCCGCACTTTGTAAAGTGCCAAGCCTTCAAGGTTATTATTATTCTCTCCAGACCTGCCGGGAGCAGCAGTGTTGTTTTGGGATGGAGGAGGAGGCTGCAGGAGCTCAAGGGGTGGGTTCCTCGGGGTGGAGAGGGCGAGAGCCTTTCTGGATTCGAGAGAGGAAGATTCCAGCAGCTTGGGCGATCGGAGGGCAGGAGGGGAGACGGGCAGAACTCAGCCGGAGCCAGAGGCTCGGAGAGACAAAGGGGGCGTGAGAGCTCGCGCCGGGGGCTAAGGCGGGGCGGCGGGCGGGAGGTGCGCGAGGTGAGGGAGGTGTGGGGGGCGTGGGCCGCGGGATGCTGCCGCCCGCTCCGCCTCGAGCTCCAGCTCCGGTTTTTCCCTCCACCATCCTCTCCCCCTCCCCGCCTCTCCTTTAACTCCCCCCTCCTGGGCTCGGGACTGGTTTCCTCCCTTAGCCCGCTGCCCTCAATCCCGGCGAGGCTGGGGCTCCGGCTCGGCGCCCCCTTCCTCGCTCCGTGGTCCGGCGCCCCATGCCGCCCCCGCCCAGACCCCGGCTCCCCCAGTCCCCCACTTAGGCGGGCTCACAGATCCCGGGGTGCTGGCGCGTGGGCCGGGGGCGCGTAGGGCGCCTGCAGACGGCCCCTGGAAGGGCTCTGGTGGTACTGAGCGCTCTGCTGCGGGGGCGCGGGCACAGCAGGAAGCAGGTCCGCGTGGGCGCTGGGGGCATCAGCCACCGGGGTGGTCCGGGCTGAAGAGCCGGGCAGCCAAGGCAGCCACCCCAAGGGGTGAGCGACTTTGGGGGAGTTGGTGCCCCGCCCCCCAGGCCTTGGCGGGGTCATGGGGCCCCCCCATTCTGGGCCGGGGGGGCGTGCGAATCGGGGCCCTGCTGCTGCTGGGCGTTTTGGGGCTGGTGTCTGGGCTCAGCCTGGAACCTGTCTACTGGAACTCGGCGAATAAGAGGTGAGCGGCCTGGGGCTGGGGAGACCCCAGACCCTAGGGCAGTGGGTAGGGAAGCTTTGGGGACTTTGGGGGCTGGCTTCTGTGGGCAGGGAGGAGGCGGGAGGGAAGGCGCTGGTGATCTGATGTGTGGTGGGTTACTAGACAGGTGATCTTGGGAGCCGGACTCCGGGTCCCACGCATAGCTGGATGCGGGTGGTGCTATGGATGTGTCAGGAGTTTGGAGACCCCAAAGGGGCAAGGAGAAGAAAGTTCATGGGTAGTCAGGAGGGCAGTGAGGTGGGTATTTGGATCTGTGGGAGGCCTGCGTCGGGGGCGGGGGGGGGCTGGGCTTGGAGGGAGCCTGGTTACTGTCAGCTCTCAGGAGAGAGCTGCAGATAAGGTGCTGTGAGTCGCTAAGGGGAAGGCAGGGCAGGGTGCCTCCCTCCCCGCTGGAGGAACTCAGCGTCTAAGATGTGAGGCAAGGGGGTTTCGGTTGGGGGCTCTGGGGACAACTTCCCCAAGGCTCTTTGACAATCTTTGACAGTCTGTCTCCCAACTCTGCCGCACAGCCAGAGGGTTGGTGAACTGTTGACTGAACGATTTCCCAGCCAGAACATATTCCTGCCTTCCTGGCTTGCAGGCGTCTTTCTGGAAGAAGCCTCCAACCCACTGAACCCTCCTTCCTTCCCTTTTGCATCTGGAGTCCTGAGGACTCCATTGCTCCCTCCCCCCATCTTTGATCCAAACTCTTCCATCAGACCCTCTGTTCCGTGGCATGCCTGCTTTGCTCTGAAAAGAGGCCAAGGGGTCAGATGAAACTTCAAGTCATGCTGGGTAGGACAGAACTTTTGGGAGGTCGTCTGGGTCCCTTGCCTACATGCAGATCCCACTTGCCGCTCGGAAAAGAGTTCTGTGTTTTGAAGAATTCCTACTTCCCTGGGGAGACTGTGTGAGGTCATGAGAAGCGGGTGGGCTTTGGAGCTCATCAAATCCTTGGTCTTAATCGTAGCTCTGCCGCTTTAAGCTGTGTGGCCTTGGGCATGTCACTTAACCTTTCTGAGTTTGTATCCTCAATCCTTACAGCTATTACCAGGATTAGCGGTAAGATGTTGAAATTTATTATGTGCTCATTAATGGAGAGTTTGGATTATTGTTCCTCTCTTTAGTTCCCAGCCTCCCTCACGTTTCCCTACCCTGCCATCTCTCCCTCTTTCTCCCGGATCTCTTTGGGTATAATCTCAATGTCTTTTCTGTACTCAGTCACCCACCCGCCAACTCCCAGCTGCAGTTTGAGTATTAGGTGTGTAGCTTGAGAACATAAGCTTATTTTCACAGGGTAGAGAAAAGGGAGTTGGGGTGTCCTGGGGGCTCTTTTGGATGTGGGATGGGAGTGGGACACTTGGGAGTCTGAGAAGATGTCAAGTAGCAGTCCCATGGGATCCAGTCCTGAGACCCTGTCTCAGCTATTAATGCCCAGGAAGGGGTTGTAGGGTTGGCAAGTTGCGGCTGTGCTGGGACAGCGGATGCCTGGGGGCTCTGGCCAAGGAGATGGTGAAGTGTGTTGGTCATGGTTAGAAAAGTCAATTCCTTTCCTTTCCAAAGCAATAGGGCATTTGCCCCAGGAAGTCTAAGACCCAGGGTGAAATTCTGAGCAGGAGAATGACTCAGGCAGCAGGTCTCTAGACCCTGGTTCCCATCGGCCCCATTGATGGTCATGGCCAAACCAGGCATTTGCCCTCTGTCCTATTACCTGGCTAATTTAAGACACTGGTCTGGATCACCCTCCCACACAGCCCCTCCCTGACCCGCCCCCTATGTCCTGAAATCCCTGAAATTCAGTGGTGGCCTGGAGGAGGGGAGGCTTTGCCCCCATGGTTGGCTGCCATGAAATAGTGAAATCACCTGGGAGGGGTGGGCTGTGTGGTTCCAGAGAGGCCAGCTCCTTGGTAACTGGCATCCTGTTGCCATGGCAACAGGGCTGGTGATGGAGCGGGAGATGGCAGTGTGCATGTGGTGAGGGCGGGCTGAAGAGTGCATTTGGGCACACCAAGGGGCAGGAGACCTCTGAGCCTGGCTTCCTGCTGCTTCCAGTGTGAACGCACAGAGTCCTTGGTGCCTGCTCTGTTAAACAGACTTCCACTCAGACAAAGGCGGGCAGGCGTGAGCTGAGGATTGCTGTCCTGGAGGGTTTCGGGGTGAGGGAGGGAAAGCTCTGGGGGCCAGGCCTCTGACATTTCTTCCTTGTCCACCTCACCCTCCTCCCCATAGGTTCCAGGCAGAGGGTGGTTATGTGCTCTACCCTCAGATCGGGGACCGGCTAGACCTGCTCTGCCCCCGGGCCCGGCCTCCTGGCCCCCACTCCTCTCCTAATTATGAGTTCTACAAGCTGTACCTGGTAGGGGGTGCCCAGGGCCGGCGCTGTGAGGCACCCCCTGCTCCAAACCTCCTTCTCACTTGTGATCGGCCAGACCTGGATCTCCGCTTCACCATCAAGTTCCAGGAGTACAGCCCTAACCTCTGGGGTCACGAGTTCCGCTCGCACCACGATTACTACATCATTGGTACTGCTGGGCAGAGAGCACAATTCAGTTGGGGGCTGCTCCTGACACTGAGCAGAGAGGGAGGGGGGGACCACTGGAGCCAAGAGGGAGACCCCAGCTCCCTCAGGCGGTGTTCACACCAGGGTGTGGGGCCAGAACCTGGCTAGACTCTGGAGTGCCAACCTCTCCCTCTGGCTTTTCCCTCCCAGCCACATCCGATGGGACCCGGGAGGGCCTGGAGAGCCTGCAGGGAGGTGTG